CAAAATTAAAACTTTAAGTGTGGGCCTCTGAAAGACTCTACTGATTGAGGTATTGAAGCAGAGGCTGAGACTCATAGCCAAACTTTGGGCAGAGTGCAGGGAATCTTATGAAAGAAGGGGGAGATAGAAAGACCTGGAGAGGACAGGAGTTCCACAAGGAAAGCAACAGAACCAAAAAACAAAACAACAACAACAAAAAAACCTAAGCCCTAAGGACCCTACAGAGACTGATACCCCAACCAAGGACCATGCATGGAGAGGACCTAAAACCCCAGCTCACAGACTCAGTCTCCAAGTGGGTTCCCTAGTGAGGGGAACAGGTACTGTCTCTGACATGAACTCAGTGGCTGGCTCTTTGATCACCACCCCATCGGCAGGTGGGGGGGGGAGCAGCCTTACCAGGCCACAGAGGAAGACAATGCAGCCACTCCTGATGAGACCTGATAGACCTGATGAGACTGATAGGGTCAGATGGAAGGGGAGGAGGACCTCCCCTATCAGTGGACTAAGGGAGGAGCATAGGATGAGAAGAGAGAGGGATGGGGAGAGATTGGGAGGAGACAAGGGAGGGGGCTACAGCTGAGATACAATTTGCATAAATTGTAATAAACGATAATAATACTAACTTTGAGTGTGAAATGGGCCAGTGAGATGGCTCCCTAAAGGTACAAGCCTGACTTACCTGCATGTGAACACATGGTAGAGGAGAGAACCCCTCCTAAAGGATGTGCCACGTGCAGATGGTGACACTTGGTGTCTGTGCCTCCACACACACACAAACACACTAAAAGTAATAAATTATTTAAAATGTGAAGTGATCAAAATACATTTTATCCATGTTTGGAATTTTCATAAATTAATAAAAATGTCGTATTAAGTATGTATGAAATGTGTCCCCATTAGAAAAACACCTTCCTAAAAGGCAGTTGCCTGGTGCTAAGATTTTTGCCAAACTTGAAGATCACCTGTGCTTATTAACTACTTTAATTTTTAAAAATGTTTTAGAGGTTTAAAAAACATAAATTTTCATTTGACCCCACAGGAGTATCTGTGAAACTATAGGTTCATGTTTACAATTATTTTCAGATGCCAACCAAGGAAAATATATAATTCTTTGTTTTATGTCAGGCCATAAAACTTTTATTTTAAAATCATCCTGGGCACTAGCAGAAATGCATAACTCTTGGAGAAAAATTTATTAATTCATATTAATGAGATCATCTCCTCAAAATGTTTAAAAATACTTTCATTAAAAAAAAAAGGCAAGGTCACAAGATGAGTTGGTGACATGTTAGCAGAAGGAAAAAATGAGGGCCAGCAAAATGGCTCAGTGGGTAAAGGCGCTTGCCACCACGCCAAGCCCAAAGACCTGAGTCCAGTTTCCAGCACCTGCGGCGTGGAAGGAGAGAAACAACTTTTGCAGGTTGCCCTCTGACCTCCACACAGGCGTGCCTTGATTGTGTACATACCAGCACACACACACAATAAGTGTAATAATGTTTCCAAAGAGAAAGAAAAATCGTACATGAGGAGCTCTGCTGCTGAGGAACTGAACCTATAGTCTAGGAGCCGTCTGCAGTGGGGACTAAGCTGTCCTGCGTTGTAACAGCTATTTTGCACCCCAGATTTCTGAGGATGGTGCTAATATCAAATATCATATTGGTGACCCCTCACTCATCTCTGGACCCTAAGTCCAAGGAAACTTGTAGATGCTGGTGCACTCAAGCCTGACAAGAATGGAAAAGTTTTCTCTTCCCTCTAGAGCCTCAGTCCACACGGAACAGAAGCCTAGCTGCCCAAGGAAAGTGAGGCCCAGGAGCTCAGTTCTACATCTGCCTAGAACTTACTAAGCAAAGACAGTATCTCAGCTAGGAAGAGGAATGGTTCGTGTACTTGGTTTCTTTCCAGCCTCCCTCCTCCTACATCCTGCCCCAAGACGAGCCAGTTTTTCTAGAGCCCGGCAGCTGTCACTGAAGGTCCCCAGATGCGCTAAGAAAAGTGATCCACCACCCTTAAGAGTGTCTTCTCCGACAGTCTTCCCCTGGAATCCTAGATAAACATGCCACGAGAGTCTCTCAACCTATGAGGCTGGGATCCGGATCCACTGACCACTTCCTGGTCAGTGAACTCTTCACCTGAGCTCTACCTCCACAAAGATGCCTAGGCCTGCCACCAACTTACTGTGCAACCTTGGACAACCCATACCACCTCTCTAGTTTTTATGCCTTGCTGTCCAAAATGGAGTTTTCTAAATTCTTTAGGTCCTGAAATGCACTTTTTCCCCCTATGCCAGTGAATGCAGGGAATGCTTGCCCTTTGCAGGCATCTGTCCCCAGGTTGGCTAGCCTAAAAAGTCCAAGTGACTCTAGAATGCAGAAGTCCTAAGTTGTCATCACCATCTGCCTCAGCCACCAGCCTCACTTGGGGTGTTGGGTTGCCAGCGAGCACGCTGGCTGGCTGGAAGCCTCTGATATTTTTAGAGCCCTCGTGGGTCTGGCCCTAACAAGAGTCAGATGTGTTTAATTCCTGATTCTGCCAAAGGCCTGCCTACATCCCACCTTAACCGTGCTCTTAGGGCAACGCCTGCAGGGAGCAAAGCAACACCATGCCAGTGAGGGGGCGAGGTGGGGTACCTCCTCTTCGTCCTCTCCCAGGTACCCCATCCCAGGCTCAGATTCCAGAAATGCGTGTTCCTGCTGAGGCCTCTCTGCCGACCTTTAACTCACTCTTCAAAGGGAGTTCTGCTCCCCAACCCCAGAACAGGGACCCAAGCCCACCTTTGGGTCCTGATGCCCAGCGCCAGTTGAGCCACCCGTGGCTTAAGCACCTGCTCCACCTTAGCTTTGGAAGCCTCTGACCGCATGACCGACATCGGCATCAACCACACTCATAACCATTATCTACTCCACCGGCCCCCAAGAGTGGCTGACCTACCATCTCTGGGTCAGCCTCAGGGTCCCAAGCCATTCCATGTGGCCTGGAAAAGTATTTATATAGTTTTATATAGTTTCTGTGGTGTCCCTTGGAGTTGGTCCACTGTGACAAGGAACTACCTTCCATTGCACCTCACTGTGAGCAGGGAGGCTCTGGGAAGAGAGAAGGCCCCTGGCAGCAGTGTCAATATGTACCTGGGCATAAGCTAGAAACTCTGGCAACTGGCCTACTGTGAAGATAAGACACAGGGAGAGAAGCAAAGCTGTAAGGAGGGTGTGTCAGTGAGAGAGAGAGAGAGAGAGCAGGTGTGAGCGTGTGTATGTGTGAGTGCATGAGTGTGAGAGTGTGAGCAAGGGCAGGAGCACTCTGTCTACATTTACAGTTCAATTCCCTCGTGGAGCAGGGTGAGCTTGAGAGGGGGCCTTCCCCGCAGGTGGGGATCCCCGCCCAGCCCTGCTCTCTCTTCCCTACTGGCTCCCTCCCCAGCTTCCCACACCAACACCCTTGCCCAGATTGCAGGCCAACCTCAGCTTCTGCATTTGAGGGACAGAGAAGGCTCCAGGTTGTGTGGCCTGCTCACTGCCTCCCATCTGACTACTCGTCCCTGTGGGGGTGGAGGTGGTAAAGATCCAAAAGCCCTTGGAGGAAAAACAGGTTCTGCACCTTCTGGCCACCCGGAGTGCCTCTCTAGGCTGTGGGCTGGCAGCTATCTGCCCACATACCTTGCAGGGGACCCACACCTCTAAAAAGGCCTCTTCCCATTTCCTGCAGCCTGCTGAGGTATCTCCTGGTGGGAATGAGGGAGGGCACAGGGGAAATGGAGGGGTTGTGGCCTCACAGCCTGGAGCCACTAACTCTGCCAGGTCTCTGGGCCAGGTTCCTCCACTTTCAAGAGGAGGGCGTGCTGTGCTGGGACAGTCCAGAATAAGGATCTCTGGGAGGAGCGGAGGAGGCACACGGAGCCCGTGGTATACCCCCATAGGCTTTCCGCATCCCTTGGGTCTCCCCTGGAACCTACATGGATCCATCCTTCAGAACCTCTACCCTTATTTGAAAGTGATATTCCAGGGAGAGGTGGGCAGCCTCCACTCACGCCTGGTTTTTAGGATTTCTCTCTGCTTCAGGTGGCTAGAGTGTCTCTTGTGGTAAAATACAGATAACATTTATGATTTAAACCATTTGTAATTGTACAAGCACATGGCCTGAAATGAACCAGCAATGTTGAGTAACCCTCACCACTATACTCAAAACTTTCCGTCATATTCAACCAAAACTATCCCTGTTAAATATTCCAAAATCACACCCATCTCCATTCCCTGGCGACCATCATCACCCACTAGTCTATCTTTGAATTTGCAGGGTTTAGGAGCTTCATAATAGTGGGGTCCCCCTGAACGGAGGCTAGAAGCTCCAGTTCTCCTCCAAGCCTGTCATGCACACTCAATTATACCTCCTCTTTGCGTGGAATCACGGGTGCCATCCCTCCTTCTCATTAAAGCCCTCAGACCTGCCACAGTAGGCAAGAGCAGGCAGGGGTACTCATCCTTGGAGCTTCCCCCCAAGCTGGGACGCCTTTAAGAACCCAAGAAAGTTGCCCCGCGCCGCTATGGGGCGCCACGGAGCCCAGGCCGGAGGAGCGCGCAGCCCGCCAGGGCCCACGGACCGGGTCTGGACACAGCAGGTCCGGCCTGATTAGCACGGCTTGGGAATCCCACGCTATCACAGGCGACAAGTGGGCTACGCTGGACTTTGAAAGCTTTGGGCCAGAGGTGGCTGGGAGGGGATCCGCCCTGACTCTTCCCAAAACTTTTCCCGCCCGCTTCAGCACAAAAGGCAATGAATGCCACCCTGGGGTGGCACGGTGGCCTTGGGGGCCCAAAAGGGGAGGTCTGCGCCCCAGAGGTCTGGAAAAGGAGCAACGGGGCTGTCGCATGGACTGCACCCCAACCCCTCCAGGTCAACCACGGATCTCCGGGCCTGTCCCGATGCCTAAAAAGGACAGAACTCTCCTCTGTCATCCCGGGACCCCGACATCACCGCTGTCCCCGGGCGCGCCCCCAACTCACCGGGTGCAGGCGTCCGGACGCAGTGACGGGTTGTGCGCGGGGTGAGGCGCCGGCTGTTTTGAAGTTCTGGGCTGGGACTGCTCGGCCTCCTCCGCCCTCAGGGCCGCCGAGCCTCCTCCCCGCCGCCCTCTCCCAAGCCCGCCTCCCGGTCGGTGATGTCAGGACCCGCCGAGCCAGGGGGCGGGACCGCGGGAGGCCGACGGGGACCCCCCAGCGGCTGCCGGCTGCCCTGTGGCACTCAGCAAAGTTCAAGGGCGCTGGAAGTCTTCTGCTGGAGTTCTCATCTCTGTCACCCCTCTTCTCTTGACTTCAGGGTGAGGACCTTTGATTCCCCTTTTCTTCCTAGCATCCACCTGTCTCTCTTACTAATTTAGCTGGTTGTTAATCTCTCCTGCCTCAGTTTCCCATGATGGAAACTGAAGGCATGGTGGGACCTTGCCCTAAGGCCTAAAAGCCATACATACACAGTGCCTTGCTCATGGAGGGGTGGGGGGGTAGATGCGAGCCAAGCCGTAACTGAAAAATTTAGAGTTCCTCCCTGAGGTAAGTCCACCGTTAGGAGCAATCTTAAGAGTTTTCCATGTCTGGCCAGGTTTATAATCTTAACTATTGAGAAGTCTGAGGTGGAGGATCCAAATTCAAGGCCCACCTGGGGCACAGAATGAGTTCAAAGCCATCCCTTGATACTTGGTAGGAGCCTGACTCAAAACTTAAAAAGAAGGCCAAAGATGAGACTCCATGTTCCCATGCTTGCCTGGCATGCACAGACACATGAGTTTCACCCCAATACCCCCCATTCCTCCTTTCCTCCTTGCAACCTCCCCAAACTAATACCCATATATCCCCTCTTAAATATCACTCCCAAATTATTTATGGAAATAAATTTCCATCCTGGGAGTTTATTGTTCCTGAGAATGACCAAAAGACCCACAAATACCTTCTCATCTCCTCAGTCTCCACCTGAAAACTGGCAGACAGCCCGGAAGGCTATGGAAGTAAGCCAGTGGCCCGAGCCCCATCCTGTGTTGAAGGGGATGTTTTACAGTTGAAGACATCCAGACACAGGGCCCAGCACAATACAGACTTGTAATTTTACAGGATTGTATTACTTGTACAAACCAAAAATAAAAGGCAACTAGCTTTTTCCTGTAGTGACAAACGGGAACTCACACACAGTTGTGGTCTCCATTGGGCATTGTGTTCTCTCTCTCTCTCTCTTAAAGCATTTTTAAAAGCTCTGTGTGTGTGCATCTGGAAAACCAACTTTGCAGAGTTGGTTTTCTCCTTCCTCCTTGCTGCTGCCTCTGGGGATCACCAGGCTTGCACAGCTAGTGCCTTTACCTGCTAAGCCATCTTGTTGGTTCACTTATTTCTCTGTTTTCAGTATTTTTGTTGCATCTATTTATCTATCCATTCACTTGTGTGTGGAAGGCACACATGGAGATCAGAGAGACCCTTCCATTGTGTAGATCCTAATGCTAGAACTTGGGTCCTCGAATTTTAGTGGCCTCAAATTTAGGTTCCTCTGTTCCTGTTGCAGTGATAAACCCCAGGACCAAAAACAACTTAAAAGGACTGATTTCACCTTGCACTTCAGGAAGCAGTTCATCGCTCAGGGCAGGGCAGGGCAGAGACTCTGGAGGAGCGCTGCTTACGGAACTGCTTGCCCTGGCTTGTTCGATGACCTGTGTAGTCCAGACCCACACACCAGCCCACGGATGGTCGTGTCCACAGCAGTGGTCAAGAAACTGTATCACCAACATGCTCACGGACTAATCTGACGGAGGCAATGGTTCAATCGCTGTTCCCTCTGGGTTGGTGTCAAGTTGACAGCTGAGCTAACAATGACATCCATCTTGCTGGCCCCTGATTTTTTTTATTATTATTATTTTGTTTGTTTGTTTATTGAGACAAGGTTTTTAATATAACCCAGGCTGCCCTTAAACTCTCAACCCTTCTGCCTCTCAACCTTCCAAGTGCTAAGGTAACAGATCTGCATGGCAAATACCACCCCCACCCACACATACAACCACCCCAAGCCAGGCTGCTGGGTTTTAATGTTCATGGGCATTGTTTTAAAATTCAGTTGCAGAGCTCTGTAGAGGGAAGCTCTCACTGGGTCTAAGTCAGAGATTCCTTGGGGGACATGAGAGCTCCCCCACCCAGCCCAAAGGGTCACTCCCCCAGGCCTCCAGCTAATGCAGTTGGTCTAGGATCTCACTTGCATGGGAAAGGCCAATGAAGGCTCATCCCCTAAGCAAGAGAGTCATTGCACTGAGGACAGGAGATGCTACTTTGAGCTAAGGCCTCTCTGTCCCATAGTCATCTGGAAAACAGAAAACCCAAAGGCTTTGCCAGAAGGGAAAGTTCTGGTGGCTACTATCATTTTCTAAGCATTAGCCATGTGTTAAACTTTATCAACATTAGCTTGTAATTGTTGTTATTGAGACAAGGTTTCATGTAACCCAGGCTGGCCACCAACTTGTTACTAAATATCCAAGGATAACCTTGAACTTCTGATCCCCCTGCCCAGAGTGCCAGAATGACAGGTGTGCACCACCATCAGCTTCTGTGGTGAGGGATGGAACCCAGGGCTTCTGGATTAGGCAAGCACTGTACTGACTGTCAGGTCCCTTGTTTGACAAGCATTAGCTCTAGCGCAACACTGCAGCCTGAAAACAACAAGCTCCTTTTATCCATGAAGAGACTGAGATGCGGGCATCTCTGAGAGGGCCCTGCACAAAGGCCCTATAGGAATGACAAAGTGTTTATTTTAATATATTCATTCGAAAGGAAGCCGAGTGTTACCAAACAGGAAGCCAGCGCCATCCTCCAAAAGTAGAAGATAAACTCACAAATATAAACACCACCAAAGTAAAAGAGTTAGCAAACTGTGGCCAGATGGTGTTGACTGAAAGAGCTACAAGCCCAAGGTTAAGGTCTACTGCAAAGGATGATGGAAGGCAGTGACAGCAGGAGCTGTCAGCTAGAGGAGCGCTCAGGCAGAATCCCTGCAAAGGACCAATATTTCACCACAGGAGGGAAAGCTGGGCGTGGCCTCTTCCATCTTCTCTGGGGCCTCTTGCTGATGGGTGTGTCCTGAATTGAGAAGAACCAGAACAGAACGGAAGAAAGGAATGGGCGGATTGAGTCTCTCTTCTCTAGACCTGCGCAGGAGCCTCGCCCACCTGTCCCTTCACCAGCCACTTTCTCTTTATACGGCTTTCTCCAGGGCATGGAGGCAGAAGCTTGTCTTACTCCTGGCATTTCAATAATGAACTTGAGACTCCAACATGGTTTGTGAGGGAGAGGGGTGGTGTGTTCCATAGAGTTCTCACTCCCAAAACTTTGGTGCCACAGCACACATGCCCACTCTAGCTGCTCTGGGTGGGCGGGGCACATTCTCCCACAAGCTGGAGCTGGACCATGTGACTTACTTCAACCAATGAGCAATTAACAACAAGGCACTTGTGAAAGCCAGAAAACCTTTGGGCAGTAGACAGTTCCTGTAACATTTTTGCCATTTCCATGAGTAAAATAGCGTTCTGGTATCCACCTGCACCCCCAAAAATCTGCTTGGAGCAGAGCTACAGTGAGTAGGTTGCAGAATTTCCCCCTGAGGCCCAGAGCTGCTGAGAGGTGGGTGAGTTACTCATGCCCATTTCTGTATAGCACTCTGGCCTCTTGGCTACTTGTCAAAGGCTGATTACTAACAGGATCATTTTTCTTGGAGACAGGGTGACTGAAGACATGGAAAGTCGTGGAGAAAGACGACATGAGGGGTTAGCTCAGTTTGGGGAAACAGAGGGCCTATAGATACGGCTCAGGGTTAAGACACTTAAGCCACAATCATGGGGCCTGGCAGATCCCAGCAGCCATGTAACAAGCTGAGCATTCTTGGAAACACCTATAACTCAGAGCAGAACAGAGGCAGGAAGATTGCTGGAGAGCACTGCCTTCTAACCTAGAGAAAGTCATGTTCAGGGAGAGACCTTGCCTCAAAGGAATAGGTGGAGAGTGATAGAGGAGGACATCTGACACCCTCTTCTGGCCCCCATATGTGTACTTGCACACATGTGCACATACAGGGACATAGATACACACACACCTCACATATTTTCTTCTTAAAGACAGAGACCAGTTGGGCTTGGTGGTTGATGTCTTACATCCCAGAACCTCAAGAGGCAAACAGATCTCCATGACTTTGCAGATAGCCTGATCTACATAGCATGTAAGAGGCCAGCCTACATAGTAAGACCCTATGTCAAAAGCGAGAAGGAGAGAGAGCTAGAGACGTAATGGCCTCTCACTGGCCGTGTTCCAGCTGATGCAGTTCACAGTCCTGTCAGTTTCTTGTTGATGTTCCTGTTGACTCTTCTTTATTTTCAAAAAGAATGAGCAGAGCTAGCCAAGCATGGGGGAAATCTGATCAATGCCTTAAAGAGCCTGTATTTGTCACTTGTCTCTTGGCTGTGACAATACTTGACAGACAGCTTGAGGAAAGAAATGGTTGTTTTGGTTCCCAGTGTGAGGGCACAGTTCATTGCAGCAGGGGAGTCATGGGCAAAAGGAGTGTGAAGCAGCTGCTCATGCTGAGTCCAGTCAGGAAGCAAGATGAGGTGGTGCTGGGCCTCAGCTCAGTCTCCTCTTTATTCCGTCCACTCTTTATTCAGCCTGGGATTCCCAGCCCATTGGGAGGTACTGCCTACATTCAAATGTGGGTTTTCCCACTTCAGTTAACTCAGTCTAGAAAGTCCTGGACAGACATGCCCAGAGGTTTGTATCCTAGATGATTCTGGATGCTGTCAAGTTGGTAACTGACATGAACCATCACACAGGCTAACAGAATAGCTCTTGAAGACAGCCTGAGTTCTTGTCAAAAAAGATGGCAATTTTAATGTAATTGTGTTTTGGGCTCATAATGTCACTAGGGAATAATCAAAGATGAGTGTGGTTTAAGCACATGGTTGGGGAGCTGAGTTCTCATGGATGTGGGAGTGTGGGGAGGTATTAACTTCCATTCAGGGACCATTCCTTTGGAGAACAGGTTGGTGCCTATGCTTCTGTGCTGACTTCTAGTGCCCGAGTGCCTTGTACTCATGTGCTTTCCCTCCCTGTGCATTCATCTTCC